CAATACGTATTCATGTTTAGATATATGTCCTTAGTTTAACAGTTTGTATACTCACTTGGTGATTCTAGAAGAATTTCCCAAAAAGTTGTTTGAAATATTACCTTTAGATGGCATATATAGATTAAGGGGGGTGTTTGGGATTGCTTATAAAAACAACTTATTGATTTATTCCGATGTGACACTGGTAATAAGCACTTTTGAGTGTTTGGATAAATAACTTATACTGGTGTCAAACCAGTAATAAGGAGTTTTTAAAAAAGTTAAAGTATTCTAACTTATAATAAATTGATAAATACTTTTATAGAAAAACATAAATTGTTTCAAATAAACAATCCCAAACACCCCCTAAGATTCAATGATTGATCATTTTCTCAACTTATAATTTTAATACCACCCGTAACCCCTTAACACCCACAATCCTTTTCAAGAACTCTTTTAATACAAGAGTCTTGTTGTTATAAATCAATTTATGATACATTGATTACTTGATAATCTTAATCAAAACATTTATGATCATTTATTAAGAACCCCTTAGTTGTATGAACCAATTTATGGAGATTGTCACAAATATTCACTTACCCAAACATATAACTTAACTATTTCCTCACAAGAATCAAGGATGAAATAATGATAGATGGACTCCTATTATCTCCTCCTTTAATCTCCAACTTATATTCTCCACTTTGACTTCAAGGTCTTCAATTTCCCAAAAATCTTCTAATTCTCCTTTAGCTTCTAGCTTCCATTAATGGAATCTAACCAAAGGTAGATTCTTTTTCATGCTTTAAGCACAATTTAGATCTCCAAGATGACCAATATATGGTGAAATCAACTAAAGGAATAGTTTTGGGCTTAAATGTTTAAAAAAGTTGTCTCACAGCTCGTACTACTTACCAGGCGACTTAAGTCGCAACATTGGTTGTGAACGTTCTTTGGAATGAATGGAAAAAATAGCATGTCGTATCAATTAAGAGTTCTGAGAATATTTTATTCTTTCCGGCTCGGTACAAAACCTTTCTTTTGACTCCTCGAGATTATGAGACTTACATGTTATGTGGAAGGTTGCACACCTCTATGTTTCCTTTTTAAAGCCAATATTCTGAACCCTCTTTTCATCTTAATCCCACACTTTAATTTATCCATCTCACCAACACTAAAGACACAACAACAAACCCGAAAAATAGGACGATTAAGAAATAATAGAAAGATTTTAACACTCTCAAATTTGGAAAGAGCGACTAAATTAAAAAAATTTAATAGAACATCAAATAAAGATTAAATCCCTTTCTAACATTCAACATTTGATTACCTATAACGATAATCTAAAACTCAACATATCAGGGACGGACGATACTAAAACTCAACAACGGTCGCTATCTACAACATATGAAAAATGTCCCTTGGATAGATATTTCTTTCTCATGCATGTAACTAGCACTCAACTACAGTGTCGCTAGTACAATTCCTCAACAAAGACCTGAATCACTAGCCGACAAACAAAAAATGTTAGACTTAACGCATAGTGAGTTCAAGCAGTTTTCATCATAATTATAAAACATTACAATTAAAAGACTACTTATCTAAAACATAATTTCTCAAATGGAATGTCTTTATCATAAAAATAACATCTTTCCAAAATCCACCATTTTCGTGATGAAAATGTTGGTCCCAATCGAATCTAGAAGAGTTATAGGTAATCAGTTTATAAAGGGGGGGAGATGAATACAAACACATAAACTTTCACTTCTAAAAATTATATATTAATAAAGAAGGGTCAATACAAATTTTACTTTGTTGTTTGCGGAAGAGATAAGGTAAAGATACCTATCTAAACAATTTAAGGTTCATAGAATTACAAGATCGCAAAGAGAAAAGATTTGCTACAAAGAAATAAAGAAATGTAAATGCTCTTCACTTGTTCTAAGTGGATCTTTCTCTTAAGATGAGAGTAGAGATGGAGTTAAGTATCTTCTTGGATAAGTTTTTTAGAGAATAAGAAATTATAACTGAATAGAGAGCAGTCAACTATTTATACCCATTGCATTTAATGCAATTCAGAGTGTACGAAGCACGTGTCAAGCTTTAGGAGGAAAGCTTGTCATTTGCTACAGTAAACAGTCATTTTAGCTGTATATGAGCAATCCTCTTTTCATAAAGTAGGTAAGCACTATAGAATTGTAACGCCCCATTTTTAATTACACAATTAATTATTTATTTTGTTAGGAAAAATATTAAGGGCTTAGCAAATGATTAAAATTAATAGGTTGCATTCGTAACATTAAAATGTTAGGGTTAATTATGAGAGACTAAAATGGAATCTTGGATAACCCAAATGTTACAAGTAATAGTCAGAGTGTTTTAAAAATAAGAGAAGAAATTAGAAGGGCCTAAAGTGTCAATATATAGAAGTTGCAAGTAGCTAGTTGATGATTGGCCAACCTTGAGGAGTTACACATATTGAATGTCATGATTTAACTTACTTAACTCCCTTCTTCTTCTTCTCCTTCTTCTTCTTCTTCTCCTTCTCCTTCTCCTTCTCCTTCTCCTTCTCCTTCTCCTT